TACATACATACAACATTCGCCAAATTATAGTAAGATACATACATACATACATACATACATACATACATACAACATTCGCCAAATTATAGTAAGATTAGATTATATAAAGGTTGTATTTCGTATATAGTATATGGCAAAAGAAATTGATCATTGCTAACGAGGCATAAACATTTTTAAACCCCAGACAGCCCCTGACCCAGATGAGAGACCGGATACCACAGAAGCGTCGCCTGAGAGGTGTTGATCCTGCCCGCTGAGCGCGGATCTTGCGGCAAGGCGCACGCGACCGCGGGAACGTCCTACGAAAGTATCCTGCGCTGGCAGCTATTGATCCGTGCGCCAAATCGAAAGGCCGGCGCACGGATCAATTGCTGCCAGCGAACAGTCTCGAATTTTAGCGGGTCTAATTCACTAGCAAACATATGCAACTCCGCATGTGCGCATATGACGTCAATGTTTATAAACATGAAACATCGCTATTGCATGAGAATCACTGAAGAACTGCTCCGTCAATCACGCGAAACGCAAGAGAAATTCAACGACGGCGAAATATACAGCTGTGTTACACACACGCAGCTAGGGCCTGCATAGCTCCCAAATCCCATTAGTTGATACAAATCACGTGCCTCAAACTCCTGTTTTATGGTGCATTGTGACCCTAACCCTAACCCTATAAACAAAACAAAATTATTTGTTGTTATTAAATTGTTGTAAATAAATCATGTAAATATTTGCGTTAATTGGAAAAAAATAGTTAAATGGATAAACATAGAAAAATACAGAAAACAGGAAAATAATTAAAAAACAGATGGGATTCGATCCAACGACATTTCAGCCGTGTCGTCTGTGCTCTAGGCGTTCGGCTATTGAAGATCATTGGGTTTGTGTATTATGGATGTGCTTTGACAACACTGTAGCGTCATTGAGGAGTTTGAGGCACATGGTTTGTATCAACCAATGGGATTTGGGAGGGCCACGTCACCGAGTAAACATCGTGAGTGGCATGCGGTGGGCGTAGTCATTGAGGTAATTAGGGTTATTTAAGTTTTATTATAGTTTTTCGTGCGCTTTTCATTCCCAAAAATTTTCAACGATGCTACCATGACATGCTTACCAGCAAACGCTGTGTCAAGTCGGTCACTATTGGGCACGAATTGAGAGTAGTCGAATTCCCACGTGATTCTTGTATGATTTATCCCTGTCTTGTAAAAATGGCCAGTAGGGGGAGCGTGCCGCTGCAGATATTAACTCAAACCTTCGGTTTGCACAAGGACGGGGCGTCCGGGGGCACCACTAGTCCAGACCGCTTTTCTAAAATGTCTTATAAAAGCACACTACTGTACATCTGTGGTTACATGGTGCTATCCCACCCAGCCTGCTGTAGCATGGTATACATGAACCTATGGTAAATTGTACATGGGCAATAAGAATCAAATCAGAGTTACAGTTATGACATACTCTGGTAGACATGCCCACGCCCATTTGCAATGCAGAAAGGGGGATGTTTGTGATAGGGGGAATGTATATAATGCTGCAATGATCGCGATAATTATAGCAGTGCATGCTGCAAACCTTGCCTTACTTGATCTCATTTTCTTGGAATCCGAGTTCATTGATCATGTCATCCCGTGTTAGACTTACATCCAGACAGCTACCGATTGCCAAGTCAAGGAATTTATCTGCGAATGTAAACGCGTTGTGTGAAATTACTGTGACAAAACAACATTATATCACCGAAATAATATTGGCCACACTCACACTGCTATGACATTAAAAGTGGCAGACGGTCTCAAGTATCCTCTAATCCTTACTTTACTTCAAACAACTAGAATATAGAATATTCTAGAACATATGCTCCTACTACAGCTCATAGGGTCTATGTCCCCCAGGGTACTGCCGGAACATACCCTGGGTCCGGTCCGGTATACGTATAGTATAGGCGCGTTTAGGGTTCAGGGTTCGGTTCGTGATTAGGGTTAGGGAGTAGGGCGTAGGCGACTCCTAGACTCGTTAGCGGAGTAGGCGAGTAGCGGTCCGGCATATAATATAGGTACCAGGTACGTTCCAGCAGTACCCCGGGGACATAGACCCTCTCAGCCCTACTACAGATATAATATATATATACACTAATAAACAACTAGAATATATGCTCCTCAGCCGCTCCTCTATATTCTAGTTGTTTGTGCACAGCAGCGTGCGTGCAGTGTACTTGTGTGTTGCAGAGGAGCATTTGGACGGCATTTATAGGAAATTTTCGGCAATAATAGGCGCGAAAGAGAGTAGAAAAACATTAACGATTAAGACTTTGGTAGTAAAGAGATTTTCGTATTTATTTAGCATTATATTTTATTGAAACGCTCAAGTGCCTGTGCTCACCGCGACCTTGTATGCTTCGTCTGCCGGCGCCGTAGCATATTGATAACAGGAACCAGAAGAAAAGCTCCAGATGCAGTAACGCTGTGAAAGCAGTAACGCTGTGAAAGCAGAACAACCCCACACATGGAGCACAGACATAATCCTGCGTGCGTGTATCCACGTGTGTGCGCGCGTATGTGCGCGTTTGCGTGCATCTGTGTATGGAGGGGAATAGAAAAACGGTGAGAGAGCTAGAGCAGCTGCATGTAAGCTAGGAAATCACTTAAAAGTTGCAGTTATCATATTCCAAACAAGAAAAATCCTGCATGTAAAGAATAAAAAAACAGAGGCCAGGACGCCAGGTGTACGTAGTGGGTATAGTTACGACCACAAAGCCATATTGCATCAGCAACACATACAGCATACGAACTATCCGGTGAGAACAACAGTACTAGCGCATCGTGATACGATAGGATTCACTCAACCCTAGCATCACACATACACGCTCACACACGCACGCATGCACGCCGCATACGCACGCGCACACACACACACACACATACATACATACACACACACATACATACACACACACACACACACATACACACCATACATACACACACACACAACACCACACACCACATCACACACACAGCACACACACACACACACACACCACAAGCCCGCGCACAAACACGCGCACACGGCACCACAGGTGACTGTTCGTCAAATAAGCGCTGCTTCCTGCGCTGCTCTCGCACGCTGCACTGCCTGTCTGCCTGCAGCAGCAGTATAACTGCCGCAGTGTCCCACATTCTGTAACCCTTAAAACATCAGCAAGGCTCCATCTATTATGATATTGATCAGCAGCAGGGTTGTGCAAAGAGAGAGAGAGAGAGAGGAGAGAGAGGAAAGGGAGAGAGGAGAGAAAGGAGATGAGAGGAGAGAGAAGGCGGGGGGACGAGAGAGAGAGCACGAGAGAGGAGAGGCAAGAGAGAGAGAGGGAGAGGAGAGAGAGGGAGAGGAAAGGTGATGAGGAGAGAAAGAGGAAAAGAAAGTACGAGCGCAGGGAGAGAGGAGAGAAAGGAGATGCAGAGGAGGAGAGGAGGCGTGATGAGATGAGAGCGAGAGGAGAGAGAGCAAGAGAGGAGAGCGAGCGAGGAGAGAGAGGGAGAGGAGAAGCGTGAGCAGAGGTAGGAAAGAGGACAAGCAAAGAGAGGAGAGGAGAGAGAGAGAGAGGAGAGGAGCAGAGGAAGAGCAGGGAGAGAGGAGAGAGGCGCAGAGAGGCAGAAGAGGAGATGCGAGCGAGAGAGGAAGAGAGGAGAGGAGAGCATGAGAAGAAGAGATGAGCAGGAGAGACGGCGCAGAGAGAGCAAGAGGGAGAGTGAGAGAGAGAGAGCGTCCACCTCTAACAACAAGTTGTTACCGCAAGAACATTCTTGACAGTAATACATTTCTCCGCCCCGCGACTGACACACCCTCAATCCTCCACACACGTCATGCCGCTTACCGCATACGCCTCCCGCTTCGATCGGGCGGGGGGGGGGCACTCAGGCCATCTACCGGTGCGCCCGTCACCCGAAGATGCAGAGAGAGAGAGAAGAGAGCGAAGCGAGAGACGAGAGGGAGAGAGGGGAGCGAGAGACGAGAGAGAGGAGAGAGAGAGGAGAGGAGAGAGAGAGAGAGAGGAGAAAGGAAGAGAGAAGAAAGAGGAGAGAGAGGAGAGAGAGGAAAGAGATGAGAGGAGAGAGAGATAGAGAGAGAGGAGAATGAGAGCGAGAGCGCGCAATCGAGAGAGAGAGAGAGAGGAGAGAGAGGCGAGAGCGAGAAGAGAGAGAGAGAGAGAAAGAGAAAGAGAGAGAGACGAGAGAGAGAGAGAGAGAGAGAGAGCAGAGATACGAGAGAGAGGAGAGCGAGAGAGAGAGAGGAAAGAGAGAGGAAAGAGAGAGGAAAGAGAGGGGAGAGAGAGAGAGGAAAGAGAGGAGAGAGAGGAGAGGAGAGGAGATGAGAGAGAGAAGAGAGAGAGGAGAGAGAGGAGAAAGAGAGAGGAGCGAGAGAAGAGAGAGAGAGAGAGAGAGAGAGAGAGAGAGAGAGAGAGAGAGAGAGAGAGATAGAGAGATAGAGAGGAAAGAGATAGACAGGAGAGGAGAGAGAGATAGAGAGGAGAGTGAGAGAGAGATAGAGAGGAGAGTGAGAGAGAGTGATAGTCGATGGAGCAGGGCTTGGAGAGGGGGAGAGGTGATAACAAGGGTGGAAGATAATTGGCTAACAAACATGGTTATCAGAAATAAACCGGTCACACAGACGTGTACAACTATACTTACAAGGGCCTCTACTATTTCCTGATTCAAAAAATAAGGAGAATGAACCAACAGGCAGTCTCACTTTTTTATGTCAGCTAACATGGGTACATCATATATAGCGAGTTCATCAAGGTATATTATTACTAATTACAACGATGAACGACATTGCATTTTTTGTATGCCAAAAAGCGTGTGTGATCCACATTACTTCTACCCATTCTTATTCATTTTAGATGCCCTTGTTTGGCATAGGTACGAAGCAAAGTTGGAAAGTTGTTCGAGTGACAGAAAAAAACGTACAAAGACATGGGTATAGAACCAAAAGTCAGATTCGACAACTACGCACTTGCTTCCTTCATGAATCTAGCTCAAGCACCTTTTAACAAGTGCCGCAGAGCGACAGCGCTCAACTGACGTGTACTGTAGCCGGCTATTCTTCTGATAAACTCACTGGCAACCGAATCAAGTGCGCCCTCCCGCCACCGCGTTGATAGGCTTTGCTGTATACCGGTAGTACCAGTAATAAAGATACTAGCTGTGTAGCTTTAATGACTTTGCTATATATAACGGTATCATGGATATGCGTCGAGCCGCGACTGGAGTGGTGGTGGTGGGGAGGGTTGGGGTAGAGGCGGGTGAAGCACCTCTGATATGAATAGCTTTGCTCTAATAGCAAAAGCAGTTCAGTTCCTTTGTTAACAGTCAACAAATCCATTGTTTAACCCTCCTCTTGAGGGTCAAAAGGTTATCAGACACTTTACTCTTCGCACCGTCAGTGGAAAGCCCATTTCATGGTCCTTTCAATCAAAGCCCACATAAAAAGCGGTTAGGTCACCGCCTGAAACCCAAAAAAGTTTTTCAATCGCTCTGTCAGACCATGTCCTCAGAAAATGTCTAAAAATCTGCCCCTGGCCCCTTGACCTTTGACCTGTGTACCTCCAATTTCGTACAGGTGAGTTTTTCCTACCATGATGCTATACACCGGCACTATCACGAGCCGTAGGTCGAGCCCGTTTAGATTTGTGCCGCCAATGTTCCTGCATTTCCTCCCTATACCTTAAATTAAGGAGGGAATGTTCCCCTTCTTTTACACCTCTTGACCTTTGACCCCCAGCTTCGACATCCCAACTCGTTTTCAGATTACCCCCCCCCCCCCGAACGTCCCGAATATCGTACCGTACGTCGAGCGGTTAAGATTTGTGCTCAACCGGTTGACGCACGACGGACGGAGGCACGGACGCGGACAGGACGGCCGACGCACGCACGCACGGCTCGATGCGATTCAAGCTGCATCTGACTGTGTCAGATGAGCTAAAAATACACCGGAACTTGTGCGTATGTAATGATACATGTATACGAACCAATGACGAATCTATTCGTAAATTCATACAGCTGTAACAGCCCCTAACCTAGCCAAACTTACAGTACAATTGTTTTCTAAATATCCTCTCCCAAAACTACTGCAAAGAAGTTCACATGAACTGGAACACAGCGACATTGAGTTGAGTGGTCACTAGTATAAGATGTATGTACACAACAGCAATACACATTCGCACAAGACTTCATACCTATTGTTGTTTTTGGAACGTCCCACAGCCGTGACGTGAACTTTCGCACGTGCTCCCTATATTCTTCGGTAAAAACCAAGGCGAATTCGTCAGGGATGGTCCCAAGCTTGAATAGCCGCACCTCCCCTTTCTTGATGATATCGTTCTGCAGAGGAGAGCACAGTCAGAGGGTTCGTACACAAACGTCTATAGCCTTATTTTAGCTGGCTGTCTCACCCGTTATAGCCTCACTCTCTCTCTCTCTCGCTCTCTCTCTCTCTCTCTCTCTCTTCTTCTCTCTCTCTCTCTCTCCACTCGTCACTCTGCACTCTCACTCTCACTCTCACTCTCACTCTCACTCTCACTCTCACTCTCACTCTCACTCTCACTCTCTCTCTCTCTCTCTGTGTGTGCATGCGTGTGTGTATGCGTCTTTTTTTCTCACAAGCAGTTCTGCTTGCTACTGCACCGTGTACATTATAGAGGCAGCAATCATTTACCGTATATACTCGCGTAATAACTGCAAATTTGGCCTCAGATTTCAACCCTGTATTTGCTCTGCGGTTTACAAGTGCGCCATACCGTGAGGGGAAATATACTAGGCGCAATACTTGGCTACCCGATTCAAATTGAGGTGCGGCTTATAGGCGCCCACGGTTATTACGTGATCATATACGGTAATTACATATCATATCGTTTCATATCGCGCCATTTAGAGTTCAGCGAGCTTTTAGAAACACCGTTACCCCAGCTTGTTCCAAGTTATACCTCCCTGTATGTATGTATGTATGTATACCTCCCTGATGATCAGGGGAGGAATAGCCTTTCAAAAAGCATTGACAACAGCGCTTAGGAATTCGGGAGATGAATATTATGGGAAGATCTAAGCGAATATCACGAGACTGTCAAAAGAAAATCATGAAAATCATGTCAGAGAGTAAATCACGCGGGAAGATCAAGGGATAAACACGTGAAGGTCGAGGGATAAACACGTGAAGGTCGAGAAAAAATCACGTGCTGACAGTCGAGGGGAAACCATTCGAAAATGGAAAGAAAATCACCAGAAAGTTGAGAATGATGGGAAGATGAAGGGGGTAAATCTGAGATGGGGACAGACTGTAGGGCTTACTAGCTGCTGATGGGGACAGATTGTAGCGCTTACCAGCTGCTGGTCAAGCTCCGTCCTGTTGGGCGACAGACTGTAGAGCTGGTGTCTCAGGATGATTGGAGGCAGCCGACCCTCGAATTTGTCGATAGGAAATAGATTGTGTAGGTACTGCAGTGAAGCTTGCGCATCCCTCGCAGGCTCTGCCAGAAAAGACACAATGCTGACCATACGAAAAACCCTAATGTTCTAGCCAGTGGCCATGCTCTAAGCGCACGTTAAACAAACAAGACATAGACAGAACATGCATAACATAGGCGAACCTTACGTGGCCTATGTCGAGTAGGTGTAACATGATTGCGTTCCAAAATTTTCGGGATAATTAAATGTCTATAGTATCAGTCCTTGTTTAGCACATTAATGTAGAGTCTAAGTCTAATTTGATGATGGAATGAAGTCTAAATTCCAACCGTTGGATGAACGGAATGCATACAATGAATGGAAAGGCATTTTTAGTATTGGCATTCTTTCTACATGCTCTCGTGTAGGTTTATGTATTTCCATTTATAATCATAGCGTCTCCACAATTACAGCTACAGACACGTATATAAATATATTTGGAACCAGTTTTACTCAACTAGAGATGAACTCTCACAAATCTTGCAGGGAGTGTGATATAACCAGCGTTTGCTGCTAGCTGGTCGGTAACCCGCAACTAACTAGCTGTACATCACATATGAATAACAGAACAAGCTCTCAGATAGAAACAACAGTTGAACTGAATGGACACTCATTCATGCACTCTGTCTACAAGCTAGCTGTACCTATGCAACATGCAGATATTTTCATATAAATGGCATATAAATTATAAACACGTACATGACATGAACCTGGTACAGATACGTCAGTATATCCTGGTACAGCCAATATGTATTTCAATACAATTTCTGGGTCTTTGGACATCAAAAGAACCAGGACCCCCCCCCCGAATATACAGACGTGTGAAATCAATCAAATCATGTTAGTAAATGTGGAAATTTTACTATTCAGTCAAAGATTTAAAATAACTAAGAAAATATACCTAGATATTTTACAGGCAATATCTATTTTAAGAATTTAAAATACCTATCTAAGGTAAAACTTCTGTTTTCATATAAATTGTTGTAAAAACTATCATTCAAATTTACATGAATAACCCCACTGAGTCACTGATAATGTCTACGGTAAACATGTTAGCTCACATAACTCTCATTCAGGCCTCAAATTGCGCAACTGGCTGTGTCAGCCTTACAAAACCTTCTATAGACACGACAGCAGAACAGCCACGCAAGCAAAGCTCATCACTGAATGCAGCATACACACAAGTTATTTTCAGTTAGCTCTGAACTAAGTACATCGCACACGCACGCACATATGCACACATGCAGTAACACACAACCTGCTGTTCTATTACTGCACTGTATAGATATTTCGCTCACATTACCAGACTGGTAATGAAGACATGGAACCCTACATAACAATATATATGCTTGACACCAGATCATAACATTAAAATGATAAACTAATCCTAAGCTCAACAAAATTAATGTATTGGGAAAACATTTAAATGGAAGTGACTAAAATAAAATATGGTGTATGTATATGTCATGCATAGGGTGAAAAGATCATTGTTTAGTCATCACTAATCAAATATAACAAAGATACAGCATGCAAAGCATGGCATACACTGTCACTGTCAGATACATGAAGTTTCATGTCAGGATATTCCTAGCACGGTAAGCTAAATGAGAATATCCCACATTGATTTTCACATTTCAACATTATAGTTGAGAATACACAGAAAAATCAAGGCTTTCCAATACACATTGTTGTAGGTACAACTGTTGACACAGTAATACTAGGTAAATAAGTAAATAATAGTATGTACTGGATAAGACTTCATTTAAATTATATCGTGAAAATTCTATTCATAAAAATATTATATCTGACCATAATAGGATCTCTTTATTATGTACTTCTGATGCATATCCAATGGCAATGTTAACTTTTTACTGGTTTTGTAAATTAATTACATTGTTTATAATTTGATTTCAACTAGTAAATAATTGACTTATTAAATGATAACTTTTAATTAGATACAGAATTTGAAATAGCCTCACATTCTTAATTGCTGGTTCTTCATTTTCAAATAAAGCAGCTCATTCATTTTAGAGTCAACTAAAACATACGTCAGTGAAGGATTTCTTCAAGGGATGATACTACCTCTGATCAGCTCCTGATTTCAACCATATGGTGCCACCTTACAGATATATTGCAATAATTAATGTAGTATGTAATCAGTGAAATACCTGGTCTGACTTCTGTTTCATTCTCTTCATTTGGCCCTTGGACATCACTCACTCCTCGTCCCCCGCAAATCTTTTTCCGGTGTCTATACACATCTGGCAGAGTTCTTTTGCGATTCATCTTTAAACTTTATTAATTTTCACAACGTTTTTGGAATGCAAATCTGTACACGGTTCCTATAAGCACTGTTCACTTGTTTTTACTCGCTATACGTAGTACAGTTATAAGAGAATGTGCTGATCTGCTGTCACAAATGCTGTCAGCTAATCATCATCTTTACCATCACCGTCATCACGCAGCGGTGTTGCTTCTGTGTTCCTTACTCCACAGTATCGCACCACCGTAGCAAGTCATATCTGCATAAAACATGTAAAATACAATTATGAGTTAGGGCCAACATGTGTAAATGTCAGTTTACGAAAGCACAATTTCAACGAAATTTAGTGAATCAGACAATTGAGTAGCACTTGCTAACAACCTTTGCTCTGATTGTACAGTGGACCCCCGAGATACAAAATTAAATCGTTCCACATATTTGTTAACATCTCGAAAAATTCGCATGTCGAACCCTATATAGGACGTACAGCAAGTGCAATAACGACAGCACAACCACATCCAGTAAGTCACGTACTTAAACTGACTCACCGAAAGAACGCACACTAGGCCTATGCCCTGATTGACTGATTCGTAAGAAGTTCGTATGTTAATTTTATTCGTTTGTCGAATACATAACGTCCAACGGGAGGTTGTTCGTATCTTGAAAATTCGCATGTCCAGCCGTTCGTATCTCAGGGGTCCACTGTATAGTACTTTTTGTATTGATTGTATAGTAATATTTTATGTCCATTTGTTATTGCACCAAATGTGATGATTGTTGACCCAATCAGACAAGGTATGCCTGATCAGAGATTACGGTTCATGCTATTGATCTTGCAAGACCGATAAAGGATGCAAATGTTCTTTATTACACGGGCTCAACAATGTAAAAATGTTTCGTGTTTTTGTTTACCAAATAGTTGCTAATAAAACTAGCAATATGGATCTGGTAAAATATGTCCTGCAAAAACAAATCAACTACCAGAATGTGAATTTTATATTCCGGATTCAACATCGGTGATTTGATGACTCAAACATTAGCTACCAACAACCACGAGTCTCCTCTTAAAAATTTCAATATCCATATATACCAGGAGTAGATAATAGGAAAGGAGTGTGATTTCAATAAACAAGGGAAATTCGTTATTTACTAGCCTTAGAATACCTACGATTTACTACGCGTAACTCAACCAACTTGAGCTCAAATCGTACACATTACATTCGCCTAGCATCGTGCGAAATCGTTTCCTCGTATACACCCGCAATCCGGAGATACAGACTAAAACGTACGACACGATTCTCCATTCTGTTGGCAGCAGATCGACTCCATAACCTGCCTAACTTGAAACAATAGGCAGCTACTAACGACTCTTGCACACTCTTGCGCCCTCGGCGATGCGGTGTGGCTCGCTTGCCAAAAAAATAATAAAGCCTCAAGTTGGTTGAGTTACGCTTAGTAAATCGTAGGTATTAAAAGGCTAGTAATTGACGATTTTCTCATGTTTATTGAAGTCACACTCCTTCCCTATTATCTACTTCTGATCATATCGTACTGTTCCAACACTTAACACAGGCGCGTTGCGTAGCACCGCATGCTGGGCTAGGTTATCGTTTCTGGGGGTCAATGACTGATAACCCGTACAGACTGCAAAATTTGATATGGTATTAAACTAGCGCGCCAGGCCCGGGCCTGACGCGCACCAAATCATAGCGTACAGACAGCATATTTGATCATACATTAAATGAGTCATCAGTTCTCAATTCAGCTCTCCACGAAAACCCGCAAACAGTGAGGTACAGTGAGCGTACAATTACGTGACCTAAATAAGGCTATGGCATAGCCTATGCGCATGCGTATTGCGATTTAGCACCGGATCTGGCCCGCTTAATTGTTGCGTACACTCCCAGCTTGGTGCAGGATAACTTATCCCGGGCCAAGTTATCCCGGGCCTGGCCCTCCTTCATTTGCGGCGCCAAATTGGAGCGGGCCAGTGCGTATTTGGAGCGGGATAGCATGTACACACTGCAAAAATTTGGCGCGGGCCTGGCGCGCGCTAGTTTAATAGTTAATACCATATAAAATTCGTAGTCTGAGTATGGGTTAGGGTATGAGTATGGGTTAGCCCGACCAGGCTGTGCGACCGATTGTCTATACAGCCTGACACCCTTCCATACAATAAACCTCTGCAGATCTAGATAAATAACTCTGTATATATCTCAAATAAAACTATTCTATTACCACCTTTGACTTGCCTTGTTTGAAATATAGCTGAACGCTGAACGCTGAATGAAGTTGAACGCTAACTCACAGTTGTCCTGCTTCTAAACTAGTGTAGCAACGCTAATGTCATTCCGCGAAAGCATCCAATACCAGCTCACACACATGCTAATTTTACACCATACCAGCTGGCTAGAAGCAACGATCTATCTCCGGACTGCTGGACACATAAACAGCTGCTAATAGACAACCAGGGTGCAACCGCACACACCGTTCGTTTCACGCTGCACACTAGCCCCATGTAGTTTGCGCTATAGCTTTATTGCAAACTGGACACTATAACCACATTACTGCCCATTAGCGCGGGTCGTCTTTTCGTGCCGTAGCATCTTAAACCCACACCTTACACATTTATTAAAGCTATCTCTATATCGCCTCTCTTACTAAATGGCCGCAATGTGCCATCAGCCCTATGTCATACCCCGTCGGCCATCTACGTAAAACATCTCCACCCCCAACTCGCCAATGGCCATTCATTCCGTCATCACCTTAGAACTGTCCATAGGCGCTAATAACGGACCCTATGCCTTCCAGCAGTGATTGGAAGAAGCATATTTGGTAGTGGCATCACGGCTCAGCTTGCAAGAGGGGGTATAAAACAGCCCGCACGAGAGACACGAGGCTCTCGCTCTCACCCTCGTCTGTTTCTAAATTTACTGTGTAACGCGCAACCTTTATTTTTACCCTGTGTGATTTGTACGTGCTTTTAGTGAGTAAATAATATACGGTGAAGCGGCAGTTGGGAACTACATCCCTCTATTCTTATTTTTTTTTCTGTTCTTACACACAATTACACTACAACTGTGCACCCATTTCACGGCGCACATAGCACACAGCTATAGCCAGGGGTCAAAATTAGATTTTTATTATGGTATCCATTCGGGATACCAGGTATTGAAATCTGGTATCCCCCCCAAAGATCTGGTATCCCATTTTTTGGATAGTAATTTCAACAATTGTTTGCCTTCAAAATTCTCATTTTCACTTCAAAAGCTCACGTTCATTTTACATACGCCTCCATAGTACACTGCAGACGTATTGTCTAGACGCATTGTTTGGTTCGCTTGATACAATGTATACACATCACATTTATGATCAACATCGGATTCTTGCAACAATATCTTGCAAATATGCTATGCCTGCTGTATAACGCTAGTGTGCAAAAGGGTGCCTGAGCCCGCTCAGATCGCGCGCACTCACTCAGATGTGCTGTCGTATAAAGTTGATAACTCAACATCTACTATCCCGATTTTGGCGAATTTTTTTTTTACTATCCCGGCCGGATACCAAGCATTGAAATCTGGTATCCAACACAAGAATCTAGTATCCCGCGGATATCGGGATACGCTAATTTCAACCCCTGATAGCGCACAGTTGTTTGGCAGCAGAAATTATCCAGCGACTATACTAGAATGTATCTCTTAATTCATGGTATAATCTGCTAATTCTCACAGCATATCAACTTTCCAAGCAGCTTTCCACGATTGTTTATCCGCCATGTTTACACTGCGCATGCTCAACGGAAGAGAGACACGGAAAACCCAAAACGGAAAAGACTTGCTAGAAAATACTATAAAAATAGTACAATAGCCGCACGATGGCTCTCACGGCAATTACACCAAAGCAAGTGGAACGATGTTCACAAATGTCTGGGCCATTTGTAAAAACGTTAGATGACATGTTCTCGGATGTAGGGGTGGTTTACATGAGGACCGCAGATCGTTTAATTTCCCTTGTTCGATCCATTGCGGATTTTAGTCACAATCGGAATGATACAACATGGTGGCGAATTCATAAATTTGGTTGCATTCGTCTCAAAAAGTCGCTGTAACTGTAAGTTGTACGATGTGGATATTCGTCCAAGCATCGGACACCTGTTCGTATGCGCTATTAGTCCTAGCAGTTGTTGCGCATGCCATTCATGTTGTTCATGTTGCATGCCACAGGCGCACGGCACGAGTGGCGTAGGTAAGAAGTGTGAAGGGGGGGTCTGGGGGTTCTCCCCCCAGACAATTTTTAAATCTAGACGCTCTAAAATGCTATTTACCCTTTAGATTTTTGATTATTTTATGCCCTTTAGGCTGGGAGCCCGTAGCGTTATTCTACAGCAGCCCTATGGCTGTGACGCCCCTGCATACATGCGTTGCGTATGTGGTTATACACCATAGATAGTGTTTGGTACTATCACTCGCGTATATATACGAAATCGAGCGTATAATAAGAGAACCCAGATGAGAGACCGGATACCAGAGAAGCGTCGCCTAAGAGGTGTTGATCCTGCCCGCTAAGCGCGGTTCTTGCGCGCAGTTCCGCGACAAGGGGCACGCGACCGCGGGAACGTCCTATGAAAGTATCACGCGCTGGCAGCTATTGATCCGTGCGCCAAATCAAAAGACCGGCGCACGGATCAATTGCTGCCAGCGAACAGTCTCGAATTTTAGCGAGTCTAATTCATTAGCAAACATATGCACATGCCATCGCGCAGGTCTAATAGCGATGTTTCACGTGACGTCATAGATCAGTTCACGTGTATTTGTTATGTGTTGTGGTTGGCAGAAACGAAGCGCGCTGCTTGACATTTACAGATGAATGACCACATGTTCTGATAGAAAGCGCTGTTTATGTAGTGCACGTACACGTGCGTGCGTGCGTGCGTGTACACGTACACGTGCGTGCATGCGTGCGTGTGAACTTACATGTGCGTGGGCACGTACACGTGCGTGTGCACGTACACGTGCGTGCATGAGTGTGTGCGTGCGTGTGCACGTACACGTGCACGCGTGCGTTCGCTCATGTGTGTGCACGTACACGTGCACAGCACGTACACGTGCGTGCGTCTGTGTGTGCACGTACACGTGCGTGCGTGCGTCCGTGTGTGTGCACATACACGTGCGTGCGTGCGTGCGTGCGTGTGAACTTACACGTGCGTGCATGCGTGCGTGCGTCCGCGTGTGTGCACATACACGTGCGTGCGTGCGTGCGTGTGAACTTACACGTGCGTGCATGCGTGCGTGCGTCTGTGTGTGTGAATGTACACGTGCGTGCGTGCGCGTGTGCAGGTACACGTTTGTGCGTGCATGCGTGCGTGCGTGTGCAGGTACACATGTGTGCATGCGTGCATACGTGTGTGTGTGTGCAGGTACACGTGCGTGCGTGCATGTGCACGTAGATGTGCGTGCGTGCGTACGTGCGTGCATGAGTGTGTGTGCAAGTACATGTGCGTGCGTACGTGCGTGCATGCGTGTGCTTGTATCGAACAATATCACGCATCTGCTTGCTGCCAACCCGAACCGTTAAACTCCGCATGTGCGCATATGACATCAATGTTTATAAACATGAAACATCGCTATTGCATGAGAATCACTGAAGAACTGCTCCGTCAATCATGCGAAACGCAAGAGAAATTCAACAACGGCGAAATATACAGCTGTGAAAAACCGGTAAAATGTGCCCAAACTCGAAGTCCGAAGATCTAGGACGCGTGCGACACGGTAGCTGAAAGCCGGATAGTCCCGCAGACACAGGATTGATCAACATTGCATAACTGCCATAGGCATAAGTACTGATTCAGCACTAAGTATTGGCGCCCACCAATTCAGCACCAGCTACACACTGTGGTATTACTTCTAGTAATACTATTAATAGTAATAATGGTAATAATAGAGCAAGAACAAAGCACGACTAAAGAAGCTCCACAGTTTAACTTTGATGTGTCAGATCTCGAGAAGAAAAAATTCCATTTTACAAGCAACCAGCAGAAGTGGGGTGCTTTTCTCTGGACGATCACAAAACACTATGTGAATCGGTGACAGCGCATTAAAATTTTGCATCCTGCCTGAAAACAACTACAATGTGCATTTCGATCTGGGTCAGGCTACGAAAACTTTATCAAGAAAGATGAATCTGAAAAAGATTATCTTGACCATATTCTGAGTGGATAATGTCAAGCCAAAATGTTGCTACCAGCTCAAATGATGTAACGAAAACTTCAGTCGAGGTTTGTATTATAATATAAGCTGTATTTTTAGCTCATTCTGACGTAGTCAGGTGCAGCTTGTGAGAATCGCATGATCGTCCGTCCGTCGTCCTGCAGCTGTAGAATCGCATGATCGTCCGTCCGTCGTCCGGCCGTCCGTCCGTCGTTCCGTCCGTCCGTCCGTCACAGTTGGGCACAAATCTTAACCGCTCGAAGTACGGTCACGATATTGGGACGTGGGGGGGTAATCCGAAAACGAGTTGCGATGTCGAAGTGGGGGTCAAAGTGTCAAAGGTCAAGAGTGTAAAAGAAGGAACATTCACCCCTTAACTTAAGGTATAGGGAGGAAATGCAGATTGCGGCACAAATCTAAACGGCTCGACCTAGGTCGCGTGATAGTCCGGTGTATAGCATCATGGTAGGAAAAGCCATCACTGTGCCGAAAGTGGAAGGTCACAGGTCAAAGGTCAATGGGGCACAGGCAGATTTTAGACATTTTCTGAGGATATGGTCTGACGGAGCGATTGAAAAACTTTTTTGTTTCAGCGGTGACCTAGCATTTTTATGGCTTTATTGAAAGGACCATGAAATGTACTTTCCGCTGACATGCGAAGAGTAAGTGTCGGATAACCTTTTGACCCTCAAGAGGAGGGTTAAACATGGATTCGTGCGTACCTGTGGGTGTGGAAAGCTCCCATTTACAGTGAAATTCCACACATAACTCTTACTTGAACAACGCTTACTTAGGAATAATGACATGACTTATATATAAGATTCTGTAGTGTACATTATGAATAGTTGGAAATACAGTCACTAGCATTCAATAATTACCCAGGAGTGAGGCTGCGGATTTCCCAGACTTAATTTTCTCATCAAATTTTGGAACCAATATAGACGCAAGTGTGTACGTTCTTGAGCTTATTCGGTCCCACTAATCACTGGCCTACCTTGTACTGAAATTAGTTTAGAGATATTTGCTATCGTATTGCTGTAAATTGTAATCTTGCACGAGCTGCTCTGCCTCTGTTGTATCAACAATTGAGCTATTTTTAACGAGCCAGATGTGCCTCGCAAGGGGTTTAATGTACTTATTACCTGACACCATAAAACGCACGTTATGTATAGTAATAATATGGTAATTATTGGCTCCTGCTTTTTGCAATTTGTCGTCACACTGACAGCTGCCATTGCTGCAATGCTTTTGCTGACCGATGCAACGATGCCTTTGATAGCGGCTCGCCATCTATCGGAATCTTTATTAACTAGTTGAAGTGTTGTATTTTTGGGATTTAAG